CACTTTCTATTTGCCATTCTCCATCTACCATCATTGAAGCAGGATTACAGTGAACCATCAATAAAGAGTGACATTAATTACATTTATTGGGTAGTATTTACACAATTGTGTTTGTATAAAAGACAATCATCACATAATGGAAGTTCCTTAAAAACAGAGGCTCTGCTCCAGTCCATTACCCAGCTCATTGTATGTACAGTGAAGGTGGTATGAGGAAAAAAAAAACATATTTAAGTTAGGAAAAGATACTTGCAAACTAAACCAGTGATAGACTTTCTATTATACACACAGGTCCTTATTCAAAGTAAGTGCTTTGTCAAGAGGTCTTTTTTTAAATTCCATCTTCGTATTCTTCATCAGAGATTGTAGGGTACTTCCTCCTAATCCGTTTCCTTTTTTTGCCCTAGACAGAAAAAAAAAAAAAAACAGGAACATAAAGACAGATGTCAAAAACTGCTTAAGACATGTTTAATAAAGACAGAACTTTGAAAGAGTTTGGGAAAAGATTAAGCCACAGATTGATTGATTCTTTCTAAAAGGGAGACACTTTCTCACTTAGAATCAGTTTACCATGAAGAAGGGTGGAGTTTTGTTAGAGTCTTTAAACTCATGACAAAAATATCCAACAGTGTGCATTTTTGCATCTACTATACAGAGTAGTAAACGTGTGTGAGTTGTATGTGGACAAAGGATAACATACGTAGTTGTCTCGAGGGGACCACCATGGGTATTTCTCAGCATGGAGCTTCCTTAGCTTTTCAGCTTCCTTGTAGTATTTGGCCTGGTCTTTACTGGGCAGTGACCTCCACTTTGAACACACAACAAAAACATGTCAGAGCACACAGTAACTTTAAAATGACACTGGACAGTTCACCTGACCATCACATGACCACATACAGATGAAAGATGTAACATAAACCTGTACCATAAACAGAACAACCACCGACTGACCCTTCAATGTGTATTTCTAAGTATTTTTACACCCATAATAAATAAAGTGATGTCATATATTTAAACAATACCTCTTGGTTTGTACTTCCACTTAATCATATTAAAAAGCGTGGTGCAAGACTGAGTGACAGTGTAAAATATTAGCCTGGTTCAAAACCTATTTTTGTTGTCGGTAACACCATCTCCTGGTGGTTGTCTCTATATACTATTTACAGGGCTTTATTGTGTGGAACACTGAATAGAGAATAATTAAAGTCTGTACAAACACAATGCAAAGACACTCACCCTCTGACCAAGGATTGTGTTCACCAGCGCATTATCACTTGAGGCAAGTTCAGAGACAACACTCGCCCTCTGGTCCTTCATGTACAGCATGAAAGCATTGGGAGGCTTCTTCACATATGGGTGATTTTTATCCTGTTGGCCGTACCTTTTCTTCCTGTGTGGAAACAGAAGATCAGAATGAGTTGTCTGTCTGTGCTGTGAAATCTCACATAGAAAATGTTTTGTCTTACCGTGTTGAGGAGATGGAGATGTTTTGTGCAGAAGCAGGTTCCATAGGTGGTAACGATGATACTTCTGGCATCTCATACACCACCTCTCCATTCCTAGAACAACAATCAGATAATATTAAGTGTCATAAAGCACAATTGTTGTCTAGTTGCTGTGTATGTCGGTCTTCTCTTTCTTTTTTAAGGTGTGTTTTATTTACACTATTCCAGCAGGCATCAAGTTCTGGTCCAAGACATGTGGCAGCGTCATGAATTGCAAATCCTGAAAACAAAACATTTTAAAAAATATATATTACACCTTTTGTCCACCAGATGTCAGAGTTTTTTCTTTTTCCGAGTCATATTTTAAAATTAGCTTTAGCGGCTACAAATGTGCAGTAGCAGATTATGACTGAGCGACTGCCACAACAGTCAACAATTATTGCATTGCAGTATATAGTTGGCACTATATGTCAAATATATATTGATCTAATAAGATCATAATACAATAAAGTAGGAAGTGAAAGACGTGATAGAGCCTAATTAATTGCTTGTTCATCAATTGATTATTAATCAACCAGTCAAACTTTGTGTCTTTAAAAACAGTTTAGTTTGGATCATCTTTGTTATAAATACCACAATTTAATAAAGTAACAATTAGCCAGTGTGTGTGTGTGTGTGTGTTAAAACAGGGTCTTACAGGGTCTGGCGGGGCACTGAGGGCAGTTGGAGTTGTATCATAATCTGGCCACTGATAGGGAAAGTACTGCAAAGAGTGATAGAGTGAGACAATAACTATGCAGACACACAGCATCCACTAACAACCATCTCTCCAAATACAGAGTTCATCCTCAGATTTATATAATGGTTAGAAGGGACTGTCTTTCACCTACACTTGTTCCCTTACCTGTCCCTGGCTGTACATGTCATGTTCCATGGCATCTAGATAATAGTTGTTGGCTCCATGCTGCTCCACACATGGGAGCATGGGTTCTGTAGTTAACTGCTGATCATAGTTGAGAGAAACTGTTTCAAGGGTGACGTATCCATCATAACCTCCACTCATGTCGTCCACTGGCTGAGAGTGGGTGTCACACCTAAAGTCAGGAGTGGGGAAGGAGGGGGGAGGAGCATGGTTGGGTGATGCTACCATCACTTCATTGAGGACAGCATGGGCTGTGTCCAGCATGTCTTCTGCATTTATCTGGTCAATAACACATTGAAATACTGTACTGAGGTCCATGATGGGAGCTGTCCTGCTCTGTCCCTACAGTCTCTTGTCAACTGGCTCCTGATCTGTCTGACTGAAATCCTGTCAATGATAGGAGGACAGCAGAGTCTGTCATGTGTGTACATTTAAGAGAAGTCATAGAAGTTGACAGTGACAATTCCAGGGACAAAACTATTATCACACTAATGCATTTACCTTAATGACTAAACCCCTGTTGATAGTTTGATGATTAGCTATTATGATGAAACGCTGAATAAAATTGTTCATAAAAATTAAAGTAGGAACAGTCGGTTTTCCTTAGATAAGGTTATCAAGGTTTGATGTTACCTCTAGGTTTTTAGAATATTAGTTGTGATATTCATCGACCTGGTTACTACCACTGAAATAACTGATTGATATTTAAATTAAAATACATTTCAATATTTACCTCAAGCTGTCAGTACTGTACATGCAGTACATGAAGGTTTGAATACTTTCTAGTAGTAGCACAGTATGTTCCTACATGTACTCCCATGTAAACATCAAAGGCAGGTGAATTCCCTACATGTGCTATGGTAACCAAGATAGTGATCAAAGGCACATGGAACACATGTTTTCATTCTATGTTGGAAACAATTTGGGGAAAAATATTGACTTATGAATAATTGTTTGGTCTGTGAAGTCCAGTGTGTGTTACAGCGACCCACAATGAATTCTTAGATAATAACAACCCCCAAAGACGACTTGTCCTGCATTCCATTTGCCTTGTAAGTGTCAGGGGGTAGATGAAAGTGAGAACATTGTTTAGAAATTGATGTATTTAACTTACCAGGTATCAACCAGCGACTGTTTCTCATGTACTCCTAATGTGTTACTTCTATTAACTTACCAGCTCTTTGCTGGTAAGGACGACTACTTCATGGGCAATGACATGTTAAATTAAAAATTAAAACAAACAACCCAACAATAATTATGGCCTTTACATTTTACAGTCAATGACATGTAATTCAACACCACGAGCTTCATGACTGCTGGAACCCTCAACAACGGCCAAAGAACTAGAATTCAACATTGGTACAAGGCTGAGCAAATTGCCCGATCTGGAGTTGCAGAACAAACTCGCGTTCAGGGACCACACGGCCCTTTGTCAGGACAGTGTCAAAAAATGTTTGATAAAGCAGAACTTCACAAATCCCTACGTTTAAACAACATTTACCGGTGTCGTCAATGACCGTAAACGGTTCATGGCAGTAGTAATCGGGGCTATAGTAACATTGATTTACCAATCCCCTTGAGCGTTAACCCACCAAAACGTGCTGCAATATCCTGTGAGCAAATGGCTCACACAAAATAAATTGTAAATATACACGTATTTAAAAGGGAAATAAAGTATTCACGATTTTTTAATAGTTCAAACAATGTAACTGGTGACTTGTCGATGAAATCAATAAATTATCACAATGTTGTGCCGTTATTTTTTGAACAGAAAATATATTTAAAATATAAGATTGTTTCCTTCACTTTTACAACGCATGATCTCAAATGTCCAAAGACATGTGTTTTAATATGAACAGTGTTAGCATTTAAAAGTTGCGAAGAAAATTAAGACATTTCGCTTTTAGAATTCATAATTAATTGACTAGCGTTAAAGAAAAACTAGCAGTATGAAAATAAACTCACTTTGTTTAAAGTGCTTCGTCAGTCGCCCCAGTGTCTGTTAACTTCGTCAAACAGATCTCCTCTCAGAGCTGTGCGATGCCACGGCAAAAAGCCGGTAACCGTTAATCCGCACATATACCCGATTTGTATTCCTGCGTAATTGCGTCACAAAGCCTAATATGACGTCATTACTCTCTTCCGTGAACAGTTAACGTCGCGGCTAGCTGGTCCCAACGGTAGCTCGAGTTTGAAAAAAATAAAACAGCTGGCGGCGTAGAGGCACATTTTTTTATATTTTCAAAACACATTCAAAACAAGTTTACTCCTGCAGATATAATAATGAAAATACATTTAAAATGACTGCATATTGCATTAGTTGTAAATGTACACATTTAAGCAGTAGATATATTAAATAATTATTTAAGTGCTGGCGGGAACCCTGTATCCCAAAAGGGCATCATGTAAACCACAATGCATTATTTATTTATTTCAGACAAACGACATTGGAGCCAGCAAATTTGACATCCTTGTTAATGCAGGGGTGAGGTTCCTTGGGTGGAAAACAATGTTACTTCAGGCACATCATACACCACTTCGCCATTCCTACACACACACACACACACACACACACACAACAAACCAGATACCATTAAGTGCCACAAATAAAGACATCATTCTTGTCTAATAGCAGTGTATGTTGCGTGTTTTATTTACGCTATTCCAGCAGGCGTCAGTTTCTGCTCCAGGACTTCCGTCAACGTCACTAATTGCAAATCCTAAAAACACCAAACAAATGTTTTGACAAATTACACATTCTTTCCACCAGATATCAGTGTTGTCTCTTTCTAAGATATATGTGGTTTAAAAATAAATTTCAGTCGCTACAGATGTGAACACTAGTGGTTGTCATCGAGGCAAACACAGATCCAATTTTAGGAAAAGTTTGTATTCTTAAGTATGAAAAAGGACCGACTTTTGACGAAATTTGTGTTGGTATACCTACCAGCCATAGTTCTTCTGACACAATGGCCAACATTTATCCTAGTAATTATTGTACTATAAATTGCATGTATTATAAAAATACATATGGTAATCTAAAATGTTCATGATTTAATACAGTAGGAAATGAAGGCAATTTTAAAACATGTCTCTCATAATTATTCATCAATTTTAATCAATATTAATAATGATGACCTCTGTTCCTCATCCAGTCACACTATATGCACACCGAGATGTCTTTAGAAATATAACATGAAATAAACACACCACAATTTAATAAAGTAACAATTAGCCAGTGTGTGTGTGTGTGTGTGTGTTAAAACAGGGTCTTACAGGGTCTGGCGGGGCACTGAGGGCAGTTGGAGTTGTATCATAATCTGGCCACTGATAGGGAAAGTACTGCAAAGAGTGATAGAGTGAGACAATAACTATGCAGACACACAGCATCCACTAACAACCATCTCTCCAAATACAGAGTTCATCCTCAGATTTATATAATGGTTAGAAGGGACTGTCTTTCACCTACACTTGTTCCCTTACCTGTCCCTGGCTGTACATGTCATGTTCCATGGCATCTAGATAATAGTTGTTGGCTCCATGCTGCTCCACACATGGGAGCATGGGTTCTGTAGTTAACTGCTGATCATAGTTGAGAGAAACTGTTTCAAGGGTGACGTATCCATCATAACCTCCACTCATGTCGTCCACTGGCTGAGAGTGGGTGTCACACCTAAAGTCAGGAGTGGGGAAGGAGGGGGGAGGAGCATGGTTGGGTGATGCTACCATCACTTCATTGAGGACAGCATGGGCTGTGTCCAGCATGTCTTCTGCATTTATCTGGTCAATAACACATTGAAATACTGTACTGAGGTCCATGATGGGAGCTGTCCTGCTCTGTCCCTACAGTCTCTTGTCAACTGGCTCCTGATCTGTCTGACTGAAATCCTGTCAATGATAGGAGGACAGCAGAGTCTGTCATGTGTGTACATTTAAGAGAAGTCATAGAAGTTGACAGTGACAATTCCAGGGACAAAACTATTATCACACTAATGCATTTACCTTTTAATGACTAAACTAAATGATTAACACCTGTTGAAAAAATCAGTAAAAGGTTAAGCTAACTATTTAAAGTTTGATGATTAGCTACTGCTATAAAGAAATCAAAAGAAATCAAAAAATTAAGAATTTATTTTAAGAGTTTTAACCCCTCTAATAGAAACAAATAAACCATCATGTTAATAGAAGTAGGAACCTAGATGCACTGAGTTGCTGATAATTAGATATTTGTATTAACATGCATTTCGATATTTACCAAAAACAGACAGTGCTGGTGAGGTTTGTCCAGAGTTTTGTCTAATAGTAATAGTGTGTTCACAAATGTAAACATGAAAGGCAGATGAGTTCTCTACGACAGGTGCTACGGTAACCAAGATAGTGATCAAAGGCTGACAGGAGTACACCATTGTATATATGCATGTAGCTCTTGGTATAAACTCTTGGTATAAGCCTAAACAATAGTAACATCAGGCTTTGGCCACATTTGGCCACGCTGAGGCTGAGCACAACGATGTGCTCAGCCTCAGCTGTTACATTACATTATCCAGAAGTTACTGCCTTTTGAATGGATGACACTCGATACAATTAACACAGTGATTGCTACTTGTTATTTGAATTTAGGAAATAGCTCAGGTAACCATCAAACAATATTAGTTTTGGTGTCACACTGCTTTGATATCAAACTGGTGGAATCACACCTATTACAACAAACCTCACATTCTTCTATTTAATTGCCTTTACCTTCACTTCGCATTAGTGTTCATTTTTCGTTTGATCCCTGTGGGTTTTTGTAGTGAAAACGTCGCCATATTGGTACGGGCAACTTCCTCATATATCAAAATATGTGAGCTGATCACAATGCATCTCAGTCAAATTCCATTAAGCGGACAAAATGAAATAATTAAAATGATTTAATTAAATGTAATTACAAATAAAAACAATACATATGGATACATTTTTGGCAAGAATTTATACACATACTAGTGTTTTGCATAACCAATAACTTTTTTTTATATTATTCCAAAGCAGCCTCTTTCGCTTCGTACCGCCCCGTTTTTTTCTACAGGGTATTAACCGGACCAATATGGCGGCGACGCTGACGAGTGATTCAGGTGCTGGCGCGGCGTCTACGTATGCATGTCAGCGGCTAGCGGAGCAGCTTAAATATGGTAACATGGATCCAGTGTAGGTGCAGTCTGATGTCGTTGTTCTCTGTAGCTGCGGGCTATGGCGGACGATATTGTCGCGTCGCTAACTGTCAATCTGCAATCTCCCGAGGCACCGCTTAAAAACAAAGGTTATCAGTCAAACGTCTCTGTGCGCAAACTTTGAAGCGAGTGGGTCTGCTGCTGTTGCTGCCGTAGACGCATTAAAGCGAAGGTTTGGGTTTTTTTTTTGTCCAATTAAAGAAAGAGGTGTGTGCAAAGACAGATAAAGACAAGGGACATTGTTTTAATGCCACGCTTCTGATGACAACTGCTGTAGAAGAGCTGAGAGACAGAAGCTCACAGGTCAATGGAGAGAGAGGTAAGTCTTTGTGGCTTCATGTGTTTGAAGGCTAGCTACACTGAAGTTCTGCCTAAAGGAAAAGCTGTTGTGCTTTTGTTGTGGTCTGCTGTTGAATTAAATAGAGTAGCACATCAAAATGTGCTACTCTCAAAAGTGCTATTAGTAAAATAAATAATGTTGTGGTGATTCTGTGTCCTTATCCTTAGCCTACGTGGAGCTGCACACGTTGAACAACACCTTGTTGTTTTATATATTTATAACTTCCAAAAGTCAGTCTCCCCCAAGGTTTTATTGATTTGAAATAACTTTTAATATCAATTAAATACAAAACTTCGATTTCTCATGCAATTAGTAGAAGTAGCAAATATGATATTGCCTGCTATTTTAGCGTTTTGGGAAGTCCGTGCAGACTTTGAACCCGAAAGTAATTTTCAGTTTTTTCAGTTTTCAGACTTTTTAACTGGTAGCTCTGAGCCACATCAGCAGCCGTGTCTGTAGATCTGTCTGTCACATCTGCACTTACTTACTGTGGCCACATGGTCTGCAGAAAGACTCATTTTTATAGAGCTGGGATATTATATAAAGTAGCACGTGGCAAATCAGACCTCAGGATAGAGCTGGAATATTATATAAAGTAGCACGTGGCAAATACAAGCGTAGCATATATTGATTAGATAGACCTGTTTATATTTGTGGGCTCCACTTATTAGGTTGATGATTTTTATGCCATTACGTGGATGCACAGAGGGGTGTGTTAATGAAACAAGGGTATCCTGGAAGAGTTCTGGACACCTGAGAAGAGTCATCTTATTATCTCATCATCCCATTTTTATTTAATTTGTACAGTGGTGTAGCATTTCAGAAAACTAACAAATAAGTACTGAGGGAAATATTATTACATCAATACATCAAGTGATGATTTATATATATTCACATACACACACACACACACATATATATATATATATACACACACACACACACACATATACAACAACAGAGGCCTCCTTGCCTATTTAAAAAACTCTTGAAAACCTAGCTATACAGAGGTCACCTCCTGTCCTAGGACTATCCTGTACTTCTTTTCTCCTACTGCATTTGTCTGCACCCTAGTTTTGATGTCCCACTTTTACTTTACTAAACTGGAGTTTCCTTACAAGAGTTCTTTTATGTTGCCAGATTGTTAATCCTCCTCTTTGAAGTCACAAGCATCTGCTAAATGCATGTGTGTATGTATGTGTACAGTATATATATATACGTATATATGTATATATATATATATATTTATATATGTGTGTGTGTGTGGGGGGGGGGTAACATAAGTGTTTTTTTTCTTTTTGTATAAAAATCTTTTTAAAATCTTTTTCCAGCTGTTGTGGCAGATATCTCATCTTGGAAGCGTTCCCAGCAGCCACTGCAAACTGAGAAGCTGATTACTTCCTCGACCAACAAGAAGATGGAATAACTTTGAAGTACTCTGTTGGCCCCTTCCCTCCCCTGAAATCACACACCTGCTGGACCTTTCTGGGCAGGTGTAATGGCTGGCAACAGGCATTCTCTGCTGCGCCTCCTGTCACCATTTCGTACCCGCCAGGAACGAGTGGTGCTGGCCCGCAGCGAGAGTCTGTCGGGGGAGCAAGTGCTGAAGGTCACAGTCACTGAGACAATAGTAATTGAGACTGAGTCTGGCGTGTGGAACCTGCGCTCCATGACCTACCTGAGTGTCTGGTACTTCTTTAGCTTTTGCACACTCTTCCTCAACAAGTACATCCTGACCCTGTTGGAGGGAGAGCCCAGCATGCTTGGTAAGGACTGGCCCTTAACTGTCATTCTATGTCATTCAATGACAGACTGTGGAAAATGTTAATATTCATTTAATGCTTATACTGTTGGGGACCACAGTCAGAATCAGCATAGCGTATAGTAGCATAGCATTGTAGCACTACCCTTAATGTCAATCAGTTGTCTTCTGATTGCGACACAACCACAAAGGATTGCATAGAATTTCTCTTTGATTGTTAATATGCTAACTGCTACCATTCATTCCAGAAACAGCTCAATAAGAGGAGGTTGAAAGGAGACATATCATCATCTCCTACTGTAGTGAAGTGGGATAGATTTCTTTACATAGGCAAAGGTGCTTTTGTCCTTTAAACTCTTACCTACATATAAGTTTAAGTTTATGTTTTGTCTTTATTTGACTTAAATGTTTGCCACAATTAGAATGTGACATATGTGGATTTAATAGAAAGAGACTGTTATTACTGTGGGGCCTTCCTTGTCTCAGTAAAATAAATGTAAGTGAAATTCTGCGCCCCATACTTGTGTCCTCCTCCACTCTGTCCACGAATCATCTGCGTGGTCTTTTTTCCTCCACTCTTATTAGGCAGCTCTATCTTTAGAACTCTTTGTGTTGTCTCTCTCTGGTTGGAACAACCGGCTGATATTTCATCCACGAGATACTGAAGGATATTCTGCTGCTCCTCAGCAGTCGTGACACAGGATGAAGTCAGTTCCAGTGGGAACTTGCATCCCCAACACTCCCTACATTCCTCAACACGGTCAGCTGCAGATTAAATTCATTATGTAACCAGCTGCCTTCCTCTGCTTATTTAGTTCATAATGTATTTCTAATTAAGACACGTGCTACTGACAAATTTATAGTTTGTAGAAATATGGTCCAAACACAAAACTAGAGATTTTTAGAGATTTTAATTTAAGCTTCTCGCTGATGTGTTTCCGGCCAAGGCGTTAAAAGCTCTTTATCAAACGTCAGCTCTGGAAGGAGACCACAGTCTGTGTGTCCTTCTGGTGATGGTCCCAAATGGTGGGTGGGCTGTAGTGATCACCCAGGGAAGACACTGCATAAACCAGTCCATTGTCACTTAATGGCCTTTGAATGAGGAAGAGGTATTTGTGTCGTCGGTTGAAGCGGCGTCACACATCTATCCTTCATGCTGCGGTGCGTGTGTGTCTTCATCAGAAAAACCTGACCTGACCTGTTTTGACATCAGTGCACATGTAAATACAAGGTGTGGGAAGATGGATGAGATCTGATTTGCTTATAGAAATGATTCCTGATTGTGGGATGGTTCTAATACCAGACTGCCATACAGAGTCTGTATGAATGTGATCTCGTCAACCATGTTAATACCAGGCCAGAATGGGACCTGGATGGATAATACCATATGACAATATAAATGATCTGAGCTGCTCTTTGGCTTTGGTATTAAAAGGGCTTGGACCTGACGTGCAAGGAAGAGTTGTTTGTTTCTTGTGAGAAAGTCGGTGAGTGACTGTGCCACTTTTAATATGGGTGCATCTGCCTTTGCACACACTCTTAATAACATGGCATGAATTGTGTTTAAACACTACCTGTCACTTGGCTTTCCAATTTAAAGTTGACTGTTAAAAATATGCACCCTGTAGTTGGAGCGGCAGATAATTAGTACCAGTCTGTGGAACATTTCGTGAGACACTAGATGACAAGCGCAGTTAAATGGACATTATTTCTGCAGGTGTTAAAAAGGCCAGGATGAGACACTTGATCCAAAAATTGCTCTTGGCCACAGTGTGTGAGCGAACTTTGGTTTTACTCTGCAGCTCTTTACCTGGGACTGCACGGACTGAGACTAACGGAAGAGCTTGATGACCTCTGACCTCTGACGCTCCCATTCTTTCAGGTGCAGTTCAGATGATGTCCACCACAATCATTGGCTGTTTGAAGATGTTTGTCCCTTGTTGTCTGTATCAGCACAAGACCAGAAATGAGTATCCACCGAACTTCATCATGATCATGTTGTTTGTGGGACTCATGAGGTAAGGACCCTCCTCCCTCCCTTCTTTCTCTCTTACTCTCTTGCTCTTCCTCTCTCTGATGTCTTCTCTGCTCCCATCTCTCTTTCTCTCTCTGTAAACAAGTCCTTCTTTTCTGTCTACTGTATGCCCCACCTTCTCCACTCTCTCTTTCTCTTCCCCCCTTCATCCACCCTTCATTATCTCTTTACCCTCTTGAGCTCTCTCTTGTTTTTACATATCCTACATTCACTGATCTTTAAAATGTTGGAGTGTGAGTCCAGTCCTCAGCACCGGTTGCTTGAATGAAACTTTTTGGGGGTTTAAAAGTGTAAAGAAAAAAAAAAAAGACAAAAAAACTCAAGAAACTTACATCACAGTGGCCTCTTTTTTAAAAAAAAAAAAATTCATTCCGGTTTTGTTTTGCGTCATTACACCACAGACAAAAGCCACCAGTGTCTCTGCACAGACAGACAGACAGACAGACAGGTGCACCTGTTTCCGTCCCTGCACATGAGGGGAAACAAAAGAAATGAATGCTTTATCTGCCAACCACTCCCATCTCACACTCTGGTTCTGGTCCACCCTTTACCCTAGTTCTATACAACTGATGCCAGCCATGATAAGAACACCAAAACCAGGAGAGATTTTTGTGTGTGTATATATTATATTAAGTTTATATATATAAGCTGCCGTCCCTGACTGCGGGGTCCAAACATCTAAGTCCTAATCTGTCATGTTTAGACAAAGTCCTGGAATGAAGCACTGCAACATAGGTTTGACAGATTTGTCAAACCTGAATGTAATGTTTAAATGACACACTACAGCAGGAACGGTCACAGCTGCAATTTTCTTACCATCTCTGTTAGTTTGACTAGGGCTCCAGTTTGATGATCTCAAAATTCTTTACACAGTATTCTAAAGGTGATGTATGACTCATTATCTTTATCAGGTTTACTACCGTGGTTTTGGGCCTGGTGAGCTTGAAGAACGTGGCGGTGTCGTTTGCTGAGACGGTGAAAAGTTCAGCGCCTATCTTCACTGTCATCATGTCCAGGCTGATCCTGGGGGAGTACACAGGTACACGCTGACCACACACTCTCTTCTCTTCTGTTCCCCTTGGTTCATTTGATGTTTGCCTTAAATATGAATTAAGAAGGCGACACAGGAAAGGATTTCTAGTATGAAATGACAAACAAAAGAGCTCACGGAGCTACAAAAGTCTTTAGCAAAGCTTATTTGTTATTTGCTGTTAGCTTAACTCTTTAGCCACTGATGACTTGTCGTCAAGACGAGCGAATCACTTTAATCCAGCTGGTATTCAAAAAGATTTCCTGCGGTGACACAGTAGGCACAGTTTTGTCCAAAAATGACCAGAAAACCAAAATGTTTTATTTAATTTGGACACAAGATTTTTGTTGTCATTACATTTTTGATAGCTTACGATCAATTAAAAGGTTTTATTTTTAGATCCTGATTTGCATGTAAGAACACAAAGCACTGTCTGTGTCACTGGCACAGATACTGTACAGTCAAACAACACTTTGAGTCACGTCAGTGTTCTGAATGTCTTGAAGTTGTTTGAAGCACAGAAATTCCACGCACAACATTTTTAAACATTTCCCTAATTTGACTGGAGCTCAGTTGTTTGTTGATCTTTTTTACATGGGATTTCTAAAAGTGTTTACTGTACGAAGCTTGAATTTGCTAATTGGTAATTTATGTATAAGTGCTGTAGGCAACAGAATGACTCAAACAAACAGCGGCTGAGTCCTGTCACACACGTGTGTGTGTGTGTGTGTATATACAGTATATATATATAGGAAAAGCCTTTGTACCGCTATCAAATCCAGATTTATCATCTTAACAAAAATATATTATTTAAAATAAACAGATGCTTCTTTTGTTTCTTGTGCAGTCAGTATGCAGAATGCCAGGGTAAACTACACCACTATCATTGATAGTCAACACTGACACAGTAAAGTGAGATAAACAGGTGGAGCATGACTCGGAACATATTTGCTCATTCAGATTGGCGGCTCAGTAGATGGGTGAGGGCATTTCCCTTACACCGCCACTGAATGTCGAAGTACCAGTTTGGACTGGGGTAGAGCAGGTTGCCAGTGTGTTTGCATAGTTCACGCGTTGTGACAGCCACACAAACACCATTTTGTTCTGTCGAGTTACAGTATAAGCAAACACATTTAAGAAACTGTTTTTTTTGTGTTTGTGTTGGGCGTTGTTACTGTTCATTTCACATTCACACATTGTGGCTATTTTGAAATGGAACGGCTTAAACTATCTTAGGAGGAGAGAGTTAGACTGTTTGAAGGGGTTTGATGTAAAAACATTAGGGTTTTTGACTATTGTTAATTGTTTGGTGCTGTCCATTTAAAAAAACATTCTATTTATATCTGTCATTCTATTTACATCTTTTTGCAAAGTCATGGCCAGTTGTCACTGGCAATGTCAGTTGTTAATGTGGCAAATGAAGCTTCTTGACTCTTGTTTCTGACTCATAACCCAGTGTACTGTTCAAAAACTCTCCTGATCTGTCAAATTTGTCATATCTCCTTTTAGAAATATATACATTTTTTAAGGTCTACAGAATGAAATACCACTGTTCTTGTAAATGTTTCTCTTTGAATACAAATCCATGTGGTATGGAGTATTTTTTAATTGGTAGGTGTTTTTTTTCCCCACTCTTCTATTTTTAATTATTTCTACAATATGATAATATTTAAACTTTATGAACAAATATTTACATAGTTTCTGTCTGAAGTTCACAAACAGGCGATTAGTGAGATGTGATAATTGATGGCATGTGATCAATTTGTCCTTAACTTGACTGCAGGATTGTGGGTAAACCTGTCCCTGTTTCCCGTCATGGCCGGCCTGGCCCTCTGCACCGCCACTGAGGTCAGCTTTAACATGCTGGGCTTCTCCGCCGCTCTCTCCACCAACGTCATGGACTGGTACTGCACACCTCCTCACTCGCTGCTCGTGTACTTCACACTACTGCGTCTGCTTCACCTTAACCTTCGTTTCTTTTCTCAGCTTGCAGAATGTCTTCTCCAAAAAGCTGCTCAGTGGAGACACGTACAAGTTCAGGTGAAGTTAGGACATTTGCTGTTGTCCTAGGTGTGGTTTTCACAGAGTCATCATTCAGAAATAAACATTTGGCTTTCCTTCCTAACAGTCCTCCAGAGCTCCAGTTCTACACCAGTGCTGCAGCAGTCATCATGCTCATACCTGCCTGGGTGTTCCTCCTGGTAGGTGACACAGGAAAAAACTGATCCAGCGGCTATAGCTTTAATGTTTAGGTCCAGTGCTATTGTATATTAGAGCAGCGGTAAAACCTGTACCTACTGTATGTCGTATCAAAAATAAGCCAAGTCATACAGTTAATCTGCTGTAATCGCCTATAAAACACTGTTTATGTACAAGATTTACATCTCTTACATTATAACTGGCTTTTCAGGTTTGAATTGTTGTGAAACTTAGCGTCAGGCCAAGAGTTTTATACGTAAACTGCAGTCAGCACATACCATCTTTAGCCCCGGAGCCAAATGTGGTTCCCAGACAGGTTTCTAGTTGCATGTTATACGAACATGTCTTAGCAGGACAGAAAATTAACTTTTTTTGGAAAAGGGCAATTGTGGGACTTTATGGTTTATTTCTTTTGGGGTCATGGGGGGGTGGGGGTGGGGTTGCCTCTAGTGTTAAGTTATTAGCTGACTAGTTGACTCTAGTCACTAGTTTTTTTAATGTAAATTTGGCTTAGTATTGCCTCTGTCTGAGTTAACATCTGCTGGCTAAGTCTTTCCACTATTGATTAGCATGTTTTTTCTTTTTGTTTTAACAAATGTTTAATCAGTTTTCCACCATATTGGTCCAACATCCAGCTTACCAGGCTGTCTTTTGGTGTTTGTCTTATTTGGCTCATTTGTCTGTGATTTGGTGACATTACGGGACAGATGGTCAAATTTGAACTCAACACTTATGCCACGTTGATGTTTCTAGGACATTCCAGTGATTGGGAAAAGTGGGCGGAGCTTCATCTTCAGTCAGGACATTGTATTGTTGCTACTTTTTGATGGCTGCCTGTTCCACCTGCAGAGTGTTACCGCCTACGCTCTCATGGGACGCATTTCCCCCGTTACTTTCAGGTACAACACACAGGACACGGAGGCCTTATCAAAGGTTTCATTATTAATCTTCTATCAGAACTGTGACAAAAGAATTATTCTCCATTAACAGTCTGTGTGTGTCTGTCTGTCTGTCTGTCTGTCTGTCTGTCTGTCTGTCTGTCTGTCTGTCTGGCGTTCACATCAATAATATTGTTGTTTGTTTCCTTCCTCAGTGTTGCCAGCACAGTCAAACATGCCTTGTCAGTGTGGCTGAGCATCCTCATCTTCAGTAACCAGGTGACCGTCCTCAGTGCCGCTGGTACTGCCCTCGTCTTCATTGGTGTCGTCTTTTACAACAAGGCCAGACAACAACAGAGGGAGAACTTAAAGGCCATGGCTGCTGAGCAGAACCACTACAGGCCACTGCTGGAGGACCAGAAGGACCAGATGTCTCCATCTCTATGAGGACCTGTTGCATTGAAATGGATCAAGTTGAATAGCTTTCTCACCACAATTGGGAGCTGGAATCAAACCTGCAACCTTATGGGTTGAGGCAAACAAACCAGACAAACACTTGAAATGGGACCAGTCAGTTGAGTCATTAAGGGTAAAGTTCCTTCTTCCAGATAAAATAACTGGATATTTGAAACACTGCAATCTCTGCTGTGCATCAGCAGCTTCATCGACCTGAGCCATGTGTTCACTCTGGTCGAAGTCCACATTCTGTACGGTTCAGTGTGTGAAGGAACCAATAGAGTGTTGAGGTGAAGGCACATGTCACCTTATCTGTAGTGGCTGTGAAACATTAGCATAAGCTGCTTTTAAAGTGGGTACAAACAAAACACCACACCTCCACGTCACTTCCAAGTAAATAAAGTAAGGGAACAGTAGGGAGAACAATTTTATTCCATTTCCACTGGTGGATACATGTTCACCCTTATACTGTTGACAACCACTTCCATTAAGTTCTGCAATGAACATGGTAGACATGTTCTAAAGGATTGTTGCCATATGTCCAGAACAAGTGCCTGAGGACATGTTGTGTTAAACTGTGGATGAACTGACTGCTTAGGCGTTTTTAACTGCTGGGCACAGTGTGGCCTTAAAGCTGCTGAACAGTTGGTGGGTTCTTCAACAATACTGTGGGATCAAGGCGCTTCCCTTTGCCACTAACCTCTAGGACCACTATCTTTTTCTCCAGGATTAGTCTCGGGTCACTGACTGGAGTTCCTCTAAGTTTGGAATCTAAGTAAAACTACAAGTCAACCTCATTAGGCATTGGCTTTCATCGATCATGTGCTCAAAATATTATTACAAGTGCAATGTAACAGTAATTGGTTCCTAACAGAGTCAACTGTGTATTGTTTATCATTGTGAGCAACATACAGACACTCGCATGCCTTCTGAACTATGTGGTGCCACAAACAATCACCTGTGACAGCTCCTGGCTCTAAGATCTGTTGGGGAAGCTGGACGTGGGTGATCTGAATGTTGTCCATTTCTCAGTTCATCTATGCACGTTCACTGTGTTACAGAGCAGGTTGCCTGTGAGCCTTTTATTGTACCACAGCTGAAGGCTTGGAGAGCATCCAGGTTTGGATTGTTACCAACGCTGACCTGAAGGTCACAGAGTTACATTACTGTCTCTACAAATCGATCTCGGTTCGATCTTGTTATGCAACAATGACATAATCACAGAGTCGTGTCACGTGCTTAACGGCTTAGTAGTTTCATTGCCCTTGTAAGGATATTTTGAGCATGTGAAGACAGAAAAAAAATTGCTAAAATTGGCTTTGCAATAACTGGTATAATTTAGTCCATGTTGGACAAGATGCCATCATGTGGACAACACTGAGTACAGCACTGATCTTTAACAACAATGTGGTCAACGACTAGATTTCTCACTCGGCAATAAGAAAGTCCAAAGGAGGTTCTGATGTCCACTTATTTCATAAACCACTAAATTTTGATGAACTAGTTTTTGGAAGTTGTTGATTAAAAATGCCAAATTTATTTCTTAAAAAGGAACAACATGTTTTTTTTTTCCTTGGGTTCTTTTCTGTGTCTTTAAAACAACTTGGTAGCCTGAGGCAAGCTCCAAAGACTGTCTCATTTGGAGTAGTGTGATCAAGTCACCTTCTAGTCCTGTGGAACTGTACACATGTCCCTGTAACGGTACAGGGGACTTTAATCATTCCTGATTGTCCTGTGCTTTCATGGAAAAGCTGTGTTCAGAGAGGAAAGGAAAAGCTCAGGGTGTGACTTCTGTGAGCCTCATGGTTTACATTTCAGTGTCACCTGTGGTACAGCAGCTGCAGCTGAATGTCAGTTACTGTAAATATCAGTGAAATGGTTAAAAAAATCAAATTCAGATTAATCTGTCTTTTAATATATAAGGAAGAAATCCTGTGGTCATTTATAAATTACAAGGTAAGAATCTAGCTTTGGCATGTGTGCCTAAGACCGTACATAGGAAATGACAAGCCCTTCAGTTGTTAGGGTAAAACCCACAAAGATTAGAAGTGCACCTTCACCACTAGGGGCTTGGTCCATATCTTGTACATGGGTTGTTTTGTTTTTTTGTTTGTATCTTATCCAGCCAAATCTTTGACTGGTCATCCAATACTACCGAAGAACAGTTTGATAAAATACAAATGGCATTCTGGGAATGCAGCATGTTGGATTTTTGCTAGGCATTCAGGGAATGCTGCACTATCAGGAAATGTTATGTTATTTTAAAACTTAAAACTCACCAACTCAGCCTAACCCAGTGCATGCTGGGTGATGATATAAAGAATTACAAGTGAAATAAAAACAATCTGGTTACCAAAACACACATTGACTGTGTGTGTGTGTTTTTTTTAACTGCTCCTCCCAGTACAGCGGTTTACCTTTGCCTCCAAAGCCTTTGTTGTTTTGATCTCTCCACATGTTCAATATTTGACACATTAGTTATTTCAACAACATGCTTATTTCGCACTTTCTGAGGTAATTGCCTGGCCGACATGAACATGGTTAAACTTCTTGGCATGAAAACACGGGCTGCGACACTTCCTCCTGTCAGTATGTAGGTCTTAAATAAAATAAAAATTAAAAACTGGCCATGTTCTTTAAGTCACAGTTCTCATACACACTGCTTATGGGATCTGCCAGAAAATATCCAAACAACTATGGCAGAGTTAAGAAAATAACCCACACAATATTACATCACCATCAGTGACCTGATGTGATTCTGAGCAGATTTGATCCAAGCTTTCATTTATTTTGTTTATGACAAGTTCAGATTCTACCTCAAGCAACGTCTATATCTCTTTATGGTTTTTGAATCTCATATAAGCATTATGACTCATAATTTAAACATTTTTCACAAGTTAATCCTCAGTTTAACATAACATACATAACATGTAGATAAACAAGTACAGCTGAACACGGCAGAAAATAACATACTCAACATACTCAAGTACTTTTCTGTACATGTAGTAAGTGTTAAGGAGGTCAGTAGTCAGACAGTCTTCTTGAATTCATGATGGTGGATTATTGTGATTGTAACTCCATGTAAATAAGTGATAACCCAGACCTATATACCAGAAACTCCAGCTAAAATGTCTTTGTTTCCACAAAAGCGTGTCCATTTGACCCACAAAGAATTAAACGTAGAAAACATCTGCACTCAGTGAAATCAACCTGTAACACTAAAGGTAGATCATGTACAAAAGTCTTCAAAATATAAACAGTACAGAACAATACATTGTAACCCATTGTTGTTTTCAATGGGCCACCTTCAGTGGACAGAATGATGTTCATTTACACCAAACTCTACCCCCTGTTGATGTACTCCTTTTATTAATTAATTAATATTGAAGATTAATTGAGGCAAGGATGTAGTTGTAATTGTCTTAAATTGTAGTGCATAAAGTAAATATTTGAACTGAGATTTAAATGTTTGGGTGTTTGAGCCTATAACCTACCAATGGTTTGGGTCTAAACCAAAAGAACACAAGTCCAGGTGTGGAGCAGCTCTGACCTGGCCTCACAGGTGGACAGAGAAGAACTTCATCAGACTCTCGTAGCTCAGGAATGTGACGGCGTTGACGGGGAAGGCCCTCAGACTGTTCAGCAGCAGTCCTTTGAAGAGCACCCTCACTCCCTCCTCTCTCACACTCACTCTAATGCAGTGGAGGAATCCTCTGTACTCCGGCCCACCTGCCCCTGACATTTGAAGTCTGGATTTTATGACGTCCATAGGTGTGGCCAGACACCAGCTCGTCACGCCCGCCACGCCACCAGCCACTAGCACTGCGAAAGTATCTGTAAAACACAGAATCAGGGTTTAATTGCCAGGTAGATTTTCACCTACGAGGAATTTGTTGTGGCATACAGTGCAGCGAAAGAAATGTGCATGAAGGTATACTGTACAAATGTTGATAAAATAAAATAAATTATGCCTATGGGTGGACATTTACAGAATAGTAGAGAATATACAACATTTTTAAAATGCAGAAGGAGCACTGCACCAAACATCGTGTTGACTGTCCGCGGCGCCATCGAGTTGGTGACAGTGGCACAATCTGGATTTTCACAAAGACACCAGTGCCCTGCAGCTCATGTCAGGCTAAAAATGATGCAGTGATAGAGCTGTATTTTAAATGACCCTCAAAGGTCTCCTGGACCTCTGTGCCCCCCGTAAACTACCGTTGTTGGGTATTTCTCATCATCAATCTGCCCCGTGAATCAGTCTGAAGTAGGGATGTGCCAACACTAGTATCAGTATCTGGCCTGATACTTGATTCAATCACTCGTATTCAAAAACATGTGCTGATCCATGTTCATTTGTTTATTGGAACATGTAGTGCTGACATTTTAAGTCAATCTTTGTTTATTGGGAAGCAGGAAGCAGTGTTTTCATTGAAATGCACAAATGGTGCAAAAGCTCTGCTCACTTTCTGTTCCGTTGGCTATGTTTACCATGCAGGACGTTGTATGTATTGTATCCCTAGTTTTACTGCTGCATGTGACTCGAGTGTCAGTTTAGGGACTTTTTGTTTAATATGGAACAATTTGTTTCCATTTGGACTGAAGAAGCCTCCTAATGGAGAAAATACAACCGGCTGTAAGACAGACAACAGTTACGTCTCCCTCATGTTTTCGTCATACAGCAACAGTTTAGGACCAGATACTGTAGCTTTATCTCTGACCTGAATCTTTGCCAGTGGCCGTCAGAGCTTTTCTCGTGAACTCATACGGCAGGAAGTAGAGTCCAAAGCAGGGGACGTCCCTCAGGATGTAGGGCACGCCTCCTCTATACAGACCACGCACTCCTTCGCCCTTCAGGATTACAGCAACACAATGAACCGGTCCACGGTATCTCTCAGAGGATGTTTGACCCTGCAGGCGGACCTTCACCAGGTCAGTGGGTAAACTAGCAAATACCTGGAACAACATCAGAGACTCATTCCTCCCAGTCCAAGTCAGCTCTTCATGTAAACCAATAAATTGTTTTTTTATTTGGAGAGTACATTGGAATAAAGATTTGCTAACCTGCATTAACCCTGAGAAACAGCCAGCAGCCAAGACTTGTGCATTGGATGCTTTTTTGCTTTTGTCCCATCCTTGAGTCAGATAATGTAAGGCGTAACTGTAAGAGCCAAAAAGAATGGAGTTGATGACACCAGTTGTCATCACAGGAAAGGCCATGCCTTTAAAGAAGCCGTGGAACTGAGGGAACAGAAGCAGATTAAACAAATGAGTGGACGTCAGTGTATCACAACAAACTGAACCGTATCAACCAGTCAAAGCAAGGCAAAAAGGAGCTTAAAACAGTTCATAGTTAGGAAAGAAATCCAAACAACTAAGCAGGAATTCATTTAACATTAGACACAGTCAGTACAATTGGGTAAGAACTTGGCAAAAAGCCAAGCATTTATCTAAAAATGAGAAACTATTGATTAGCATCCAAAGCTAAAACAGTGAAGATACCTAAAGTTCAGAAATTTGTAAAAGTTACATTAAATATCTAAAGTAGTAAGCATTATACATGAGTTCATCAAAAAGTCAGCATCTATCTGAGTATAGAACATTATCCAATGTTTATGAACAATAACTAAATATACTAACTTCTTTGTTAAAATTATAAACTGAAATGCCATCCATCCATTTTCATCCGCTTATCCGTTACCGGGTCACGGGGGCAGCAGTCGCCATCCAAATCACATTGCACCGTACCAACCCCCCTAACCTTCCTGCAGGTGGTGAGTCCACTGGAAGGTACCAACCGCCCTAATCGGGATTCGAACATGCCCAGGAAGTGAACCCTGGGGTTCCACACCAATGACAGAGACATTGCCTCTGGGCCAACGCGCCACTAAACTGAAATGAACTGTAGTAATCTTTCATTTTAAGCCGTGCCGTCTGACATAAACTTTGAACTTTGTTTTACTGTAATTCATTTTATTAAGACATCTTTTTAACAAGGCTAGTCGCCCCCTTGTGGCTAACTCTCAGTACTTTTTAAACCATACGGTAACCCCGAGACTCTTACCCCTTCATGACGGTAGGTTTTAGCCACACAGTGAAATATTCCTTTATACACGGACTGTGTCTGAAGTCGAACCTGTAAATGAAACATGTACGGTGAAAAAACAGCTGGGTGTAGTCACCGCAGTAGGTCATACATTTACCTTCACAGTGTCTAATGGATATCCAACCGCTACTCCCAACGCCCCTGTTGCAGAAAAACCACAGAAATGAATCTAACCTTCAGTCACACCACTAGTACTATCGCCACTGCAGTGTTTGTATCCACACACCAGATATTTTAGCTGTGACCAGTACGTTTACCTGAAATAGTCCCAGCAAAGAATTCCAAAAATGGCATGTTTGATTCAATTTCATTACCTGTGAAGAAAATGATCAGAGTATTTAGTTCATCACGAACTGTTCATACACACGGAACAGAAAATATGTACACAAACAAATGTGTCATAAATGTGTTATATTAAAGACAGGCCCTGTAACAAGTGTTTTGACATTTGTGGCCCACATCTGGTATACAACATGTGGGTCAAATATCAGCCCTAATGTGACCAAACACATGGCCTACTGTGTGGGAGTGAGTGACAGGCAGAAAGACTTTCTGTGAACAACTTTAGAAGAGTGCATTTTCATAAAACCGCCATTATATTCTATGAAGGTTCTTTAAATAATCTATATCTAAACATAACCTTGTATCAATTCTTCACGGTGCAACTTGAACTACTTACCTACTCATCTACGGTTTTAATCATATAGTTTCAAACGTCCTCAACCCAGTTCCTCAGATCATGTCGTTTGATTACGGTAAGAAAAAAATAATAATAAAAAGGAAGCAAAACAGAACAAAACGCATAAAAGTTGCACACTGCAGCGTCAGACTTTATGCGAGTGCTGCAGGTCTGCTGCTGCACAGTTTTCTTGATCAATTATTGATCGAAAAACCTTTAAACAGCCAATAAACTGGAGGACTGACCCTATAAATACAGTATTTATGTAGTTTGTACACACACCGCCTTAGTCCGTGAATAAGAATCTCTGGACCTCCGACCCATTTATTATCTATTAATCAGCATTTTCCACCCTCTGCCTGTTTTATCCATTTTTTCTCATAGTAAAACCAAGCAAAACGATCTGATTATGTCCTCATCGGAGTAGATAAGGCTGACGACGTTATTTAACGTAATAACGTCAAAATCACACGTTTTCGCGTCCGACAAAGTTCGAATCCCGAGAATTCGGCCCATTTTAGTGAGAGTAAATACTGTAGCGAAAACAGAACCGAGCTGTAGAATCCATACACGTGTCAGCTGAGACAGGAACCGATCCAAGCAAGAGAATCCAGACGGAAGAAGTGGTTAGATCGGGTTAACCTTTAACCATGAACAAGTTACCAAGGGAAGGGACAGGGGAGAAATAAGAGGAGGGTGGGGGTTAGAGAGAGGGTCCTGAGTTTTTTTACTGCACTGCAGCACAGATGTGGCCCAAAAATGTAGTCCAAGTCAACTAATGTCCTGTGACTTTAACGATAGGAAATATGATCTTTTCCAACTACTACGACTGTAGTTGGACTTTGTTTCCAGCTCACATTATTTAGAATCCTTACATTTTCATACCAGGCTAAAAATCCGAGCTAAAAAGTGTTACTCTAGTGAGCTCTTTTGTTTTAGTATAATAATAATTATAATAATACAATTTATTTCATAGGCGCCTTTCTAACCATTTAGATACATGGATTTGACTGTATGATGAATGTCAAAGTCAAAGTAAACTTTATTGTCAAAAATGCCATACATACAGGACATATGGCACAATGAAATTGCAGTCCTCTCAGACCCACGGTGTTTACAACTGAACTTAATTAATTTAGTGACTATATTGTAAAAACTACCATTAAAAAGGGACAAACCCGAAAGAAAAAGAAGCAAGAAGATGGTAAAAACGACCTTTAATGAGTCAACAGCACAATCCAAATAAAATCAAATTAATAATTGGACACCTGCTGTAATGCAGAAATTAAACATTTACCATCTAAAAATATGTTTAACAGTCAGTTTGGGGCGTCACTTATACGTCATCATAAACTGACGACAATTTGCCAGTAAACATTTGGTGACGTCACCTTCATGCGCCAAAAACACATAAGCTTTTCTTTTTATGAAGTGTGCTTTAGTTAACGTGTTGTTACTTTTTGAATTTAAAAAAATGTGACACTGAATTCTCATGTTTGCCTGAACTATCACCGGAAGACTCAACGACGAACAATTAGAAGCAAACATCGCAAACAGAAGATGAAAGATTTCAGACTTGGCTGCATCGGTAACGTTAGCCTGCAGCTGAATTAGCTGTTGGGAGTATTTGATATTTTTCTCATGCGACAACCATGGCAACTTTAACAAGACAAGATATAAACTTTGGACAAGGTATGAAAACCAAAACGTTGTTGAATTGATAAGTTTTACTCGTACGGACACCGCATATGTCGGTTTTTAAACATAAGATAATATGAAAAATATGAGGAAACGACAGTATGGTAATTTGGTTAAATATTGATGCTTGTAATAAACCTAGGCATGGCTTGTTTTATTTTGATTATAGCAGTTGGTTAATTAACAACTGGTATAAATGAAAGCTACATTAAGTCATTGATCTTTGGTCCACCCTTGTCTTCGCCCTGAAAAATGATGCAGAACAACTTCGTTTTGCAATGAAGATAATTTAATTTTAAAAGCAAATTCGAATGTACTCTATTCAGTTTAGTAACGACATAGATTATCTGAGAAACGTAAAGAGTAGAGGTCAGAGAGTACTTAACTGGTTTTGGAAGTAAATGGTTTTCTCTCTTCATCGTTCATACACTAGAGCACTAGAGTTATTTTTGATTGCCTGTGTTTATGTTTTCATCTCAGTGGTTGCTGACATCCTCTGTGAGTTTCTGGAAGTTGCCATTCATCTGATCCTTTATGTCCGAGAAGTGTATCCCTCTGGAATATTTCAGAAGAGAAAGAAATACAATGTTCCTGTACAGGTACAGAGGAAATGGACCAATAAAAAAAATGTATGGTTATTTACACATTATAATGTTTTTTTATTTCTGTGTTTATTTCAGATGTCATGTCACCCAGAACTGAATCAGTACATTCAAGACACTCTGCACTGTATTAAACCACTGATTGAAAAGGTATGACACACTGTGTTGTGGACAAATGAATATCAGTATCACACAACCCCCCAAAAGATAACCAGATAATATGCTAATAATAATAATAATAATCCCATTATTTCTGACTTTTTTCTGAATCCTTAAAGTCCTGTTTTCCATGTATTTCCCAGAATGATGCGGAAAAGGTGGTGGTGGTCATCATGGACAAAGAGCACCACCCTGTGGAGAGATTTGTGTTTGAGATGTCCCAGCCTCCAGTGCTCTCCATCAGGTTTACATTATATTAATTAAAATAAAATATTAAAATGTTAAAACTGCATTACCTTTATTTTCGGTCACCAAATTCCAGCTCTTGTCTTCTGTTGTGTTGTCAGACTGTTTGTATGTTTCATTTCTTCTCCAGCCCGGACACTTTGCTCTCACATGTGGAACAGCTGTTGAGGGCCTTTATCCTGAAGATCAGTGTGTGTGATGCTGTTTTAAATAATAACCCACCAGGTAACAATTACTGTGTTACTTGACAAAACACTATGCAGATGTTCTGTACCATTATAACTTTCTTCAAATTCTTGGCCTTTTTAAAACCTACTGTGAAATATTTTTGTCTGTGGTCACAGGTTGTTCATTTACAGTCCTTGTACATACCAGAGAAGCTGCCACACGCAACATGGAGAAGGTCCAGGTGATTAAGGTGAGATTTACACAATACTGCAATAACATGTACTGGAAACACACTACACAGCACTTTTTCACTTTCTGTGTAATATTGAAATTAATATTATATGTTGAGTACCTGCAAAAGACCTTGGTGTACTAGATATTTTTAATTATGACATACCATAATTTATATATAGTATTCAAAAGATGCAGAAGTTACTTGTAAGAAAACCAGCTTGCATTCATATCACACCTCACATTCATGCATGTTCATCTTCAGGATTTTCCATGGATAGTTGCTGATGAGCAGGAAGTTCACATGAAGGAGCCCAGACTCATTCCACTAAAGACTATGACATCTGACATAGTTAAGGTGGGAACAAACTTTTTTCCTTATTTATTTATTTATTTTAGATTATTTTATTAATTAACAGTGAGGGTTCTTCCATGGATTCGGGTGTCAACTGTTGTATTACTATAAATGTAAACATCAGAATCAGAATCTCTGTTACATTATTATCTGAAGCTTTATTATCTGTGTAATAATAATAAAATGTGCAAGGTTATTAATGTATGGTCCTTCATTTGTAAAGTACTTTTTTTTTAACAGTAATGTACTGGAGCTCTACCTTTAAGCTGTGTCTTTATTTCTTTCATTAGAAAGAGCTGTCACTAGGACTGACTAACAAAATCTCAGAATCACTTGTATATATTCACATGACTTGTGATACTAAACAAGCAGGGAAGTGCTAAATTCTATCAGCTGTATTTAGTCACCAGTTAGTATCTGTGTGACTAACACTGTGGATCTGTTTGAAGCACGGGCAGCTGCTTTATGCTCTTGTGTACATAAATGATCCCTTATATTGTGCCGTGTGTTTTTTATTGGTCACAGATGCAGCTCTATGTTGAGGAGAGAGCCCAGAAAACATAGATCCTTCTCTCAGCAGACTAAACACCTGCAGCTACAGTAAATAAAGATCACCCACAATGTTGCTGCTGAGACTGTCACTGCACCACACAACAATGAGTGTTTGTGTTGGAACACATGGTATTAGTAAGAGTGACGTGTTTTCATTGGACCATGGAACATGTGTGTGAACACGACACTGCAGTTGGATTTGGATTGTTTATATTTGGATGAACTCTGTTGTTTATATGTGTACAATTCCTACCATGAACATTTTGATTGTGTGTATGTCTGTTTATAAGTGTCTCAGCAGATCAGAAATCCACTGTCCTTGCGAGAGGTGCATGTCTGTATGTATGTGTGACTGTGTGTGTTCAAAATACAAAACAATGCATGATTTTCAATTCATTTTTATTGTGATATTGAAAATGTTATAAAAACTGTTCTAAAAACTCACATTAAAAACAAGCTTGTGGATGTTAGCATATCTAACTGGGTCATACTTTTTAAAATTATAATTTTTTTAATGTAATGTTTATCTTAAATGATTATCTTGTGTCATTTTTGTTCAGAAACACTCCTCCTTAACATAACATAACAAAAGGAGTTTAAAAAAGGTTTGCTGAGCTTCCAAGTTCTTCTTCCTGGCTGCAGGACTCCACCATTAGCGGATCAGCAACTGGGAATGTAGTATCCTGTGGGGTACACAATGAAAACCAATGATGTAAACTGAAACCAGTGCAGCCAGGGCTCCTGCCGTCTTCACTGCTATTCCACTGTTGCCCTCACAAACTTTTTTGTAGAACCTGGAAATGTTAGAAAAGATGTGATTGGGTTGAACTACACTGAGTGTACAAAATTAAATCCAGGGCGGAACTAATTTCTGTTGTTGCTTCATAGTTTTCCTTCTAAACAGTTTAATAACTCACTGGATTGACGTCCTACTCTATTAAGGCAGTCCTGAAACTTATTTACATCATACACTCCATGTTTTATAAAGACAAAGACTAACTACAAACAAAGCTTTGCAGCCAGAGGCATTGCAGTAGTTGACTTCTACCACAGTAACCAGCTGTGGTACTATTAAAGTACTCTTAATTTACACACACATATGAGCGGTCTTTTCACTTTAACACATCTCACCTTGTCGTAGCAGGCTGTGAGGCTGCTACGTTCATATCTATGTCCTCATTCCAGCGGTCATACTGCACACTGCCACCTGTGTTGGAGTCCATGAGGGAATATTTTCCTGCTCAGAGTTTTGTCAGCTGCATGGAGTGACTGTTCTCACTCACTGCTTCAAAGTTCAGCCTGGAAAAACAAACTCTCACACAGTGTGATGACGTTTGACGGGTTTTAGTAGATTATAAAGCGCAAAATCACAAAACTCCAGGGTAAAGTAAGGAAGAGGTGAAGTTGAGAGTTTGCAAGGAAATAAAATCCTTACGTCTTCGACGATAAACAAGCACACAAATATGCAGTGTTGTAATAAGCCATTTGTTGTGTAACGTAAATGACGTGATTTGATGAAACAATACTAATTCATTTTAAATAAATATATTCTTTACTCACCTGAAATAGATAATGCTTAGGTCAAAAAAGCTCCGTGCTCTAAAACTTTTAAAGCCATGACTGAAACTCAGGCTGACAAAGTGTTTCTAGAGACCTTGACCCGGGTTCATGTGTTTACAGAGGCCATCATGTCATTAAGTCATTGGTTGTGTCCCAATTGTTGTCCTTCGCCTCCTCATATGACAGCCGCTCAGGGATTAAGGGTCATTCAAAGTTAGACTGTATTTCATCACATCCTGTGCTGAGAGATACCGCAAAGTCATTATGTTCAGTAGCTACCGGGGAGACAGCGCCCTCTCAGAGTTTTAGATGTAACAAAATTAAACTATCTTGGCTACCCTTTCTATTGATTTACTTACATATAATGAAGTAAAAAATATTCCTCTCACATGGTCTTTTTGATAAAATTCGGTAATAGAGTTTCTGGACTAAATTTCAACCCACCGTAGGCTAAATGTTTACTATCTTTGTTCAACCCTTGTTCGATGTCCACTCAACAGTTTCCTCAAGAGTTATCCTGGGTTAATTAGTACAGTTGTTAGCTAACTAAGATAATATTAAACCTTTAGCTTACTAACCTTTAGGTAATTTCTTTAAGATACTGCTATTTAGGTTTTGTTCTAAGGTAATGTTTTAGTCAAACCAAAAAAAATTGTACAATAAAACAATTGTTTTTACACTGTGGTTGAATATCTGAACTAAGAGACTTAATTTTGTTTCAATTTATGTGAAATAATATATAAAGTAAAATAAAGACTCCGATTAAATTAAATGTAATTATTTCATAGCGAGCTCTTATTATTATTATTATGACCAATCTAATTCTTTAAGGACATTTTGTTCTTGCTGTATTCCAGATTGATTTCCAACTCTGTCCACTAGGTGGCATCTCAAGCACAGTAGTTAAATTGACGTCATATTGAGTTCGAAACGCAGGGAAGAAAAATATTGTAAATATGAAGGTTTTTCACTGGTTTACATTAGGAGAATTTATACCGATGGGATTTCGAGATGGCCGGCTCCACTGACATCAACTGTTCCTGATGCTTAAAATTAAAAAGATTTCGATCTGGGGTGATGGAAACCACAGTTACTAGTGGGGTTGATGAATGCTCCCAAATCAGCATATTAAAATAGCTAATTTTGTTGACAATGAAGAAAAATGTTTATAATGCCTGCCATCAATATAAAGTGTAAACGTTGTTTCCTGTGGTGCAACAGCCTCCATTATCTAGTGTGGGCCTTTGCACTGACGCTCAGCTGACCTTTGGACACAACAGGCTTAACATCAAGACAGCAGAGAAAGACGTGATCTCATGATTCCCGTCCGATCAGGAATATTAGCAAAATCATATTTATAGTATCTGCCATGCTTGAGTTGGATTAATCTCAATGGATCACTTCAGAATGCCTGGCCACTGAAACAATTCTCCTCCTCGAAGGTCAGGAGACAGACCACAATGTTTTCCTTTATCTGGTCACTTGTTCCAACTTCCTATATTCTACCAGGTTGGCTGATTTTAGACACAAATCCACTGAACTGTTTCCTTCAGGGTGAGTAATTGTCCCACTTGTTTCCTCTGATGTCATCATTGCTACAGATTTCTTGTCCCTGCTGTTTTCATTGTTATAACAACTCTGTTTTTGTGACCTGCAGGACTGGTGGGTGCATGTGGAATCAATGTGTTATGCTCCTTGATGAGGGTGCACTTGTTTTTAGAAGAACAGAGGTGAGGACACCTAACGGGGTTGTTTTTTGACAGTGTAATAAACATAATGATATATCATCTGCCTATTAGTAGATAGAGGTTTCATAGTGTAGTGCATGCTTGCCTAAGACGCAGAGGGTCCTCGGTATGATCTGCAGCCATGCTTAATAGCTTTTCCTGTTGAGGCCTGTGTGGGTTGACTCATTGTGAATTGTCTGATTGTGGGATCAATAAGGGACCAGGGGGACATGAAATGTATAACCATATTGTTATTAATGTATCTCTGTTGTTCTCCCCTGACTTCACAGCTGTAAGGATAAAAATGAAAATGAATCATCAAGCAAACGCAAACCCAGACAACAACAACACAATAAGACTGGACTGAGTGGAACGGTCCACTTTTTCATTGTGACAGGTTTACTGGCTGTTGTGGGTTCTCGTGTGGCTGCCTTGGTGGTCCTGGAGTTCTGTCTTAGGGCTGTCTCAGGATGGTTATCAGCCAGACAGGTAAGACTACTCTTCTGTTATTTTATTTTGTAGACATAATGACGACAATTTGCAATATGAGCATATGTTCTGACATATTGTGCACTCTTAACTTTAACTTACAGGAGTCCAAAATATTTATACAGCAGCTTTTAGTTCAAAGCCAGTTCTCTCTGGGCTGTGCTCTGACTTGCAGCTTGCACTTTCTCCACGAGGCGGCGTCTCAGCGCTGGTTAAGCTTGCTCCTGGCAGCAGCACTCAGCTGGTTTCTTTCAAAACAGGCCACACGCCTGAAGCATCATGTCATGGCTCTGTATAAACTCCACAGCTCCCAGCGCTACTGCGGCGTCTGCATCAGCCTCCTCACATCAGGGAGCGATGTGCTGCCTGCACTGTGCAGAACGATGATCATCACTTTCGGCGTGGCTGTAGTCGCTGCTGTATCAATCATTAATCAACATTTCCTGTCTGCAACTGACGCCCTCAAGTTTTGGACACCACTGACAATCTGCTACACTCTGTTAGTGGTGTATATGCAGGGTAAGGAGCGTGATTAAACAAAGTACAGAACAGTCCTCATTTAACAATCACAAACAACATGGGTTTATGTAAGCTACATGGGTACAAAATATGTTTGAAGGCTAGCTGGGAATTTTGGTAATATTTAGTTTTATATCAACCTCCTAACCTCAAGTGTGAAACATAAAGACTACAAGGCAGTGTTTATTCATCACCTTATGTGTGCCTGTTACTAGAGAAGTCACATCACGTGTGGTTTTTATTTTGTGATAACAACACAGAGGTCAACATCCTTTCTCTCTGAATTTTCTGCATTTAACTAATTAGAAGATAAATCACTATAAATAGAGATTTGGTTTCATGGATTGCATTTGTGACATCTCTATTTGTGACACTCTATTAGGTGTAATTGACTTACACCTGTGTAATTGCATGCAAGACAGTTAACATCGACACAGACACTAGAAAATGGTGAATGAACATTCATCAATAATTACAGCATTCCGAATTTTAAACTCCTCTAAAAACCTTGCCATACATTTTCTTCATATATATTCTCTCAATGCTGTGGTTTGGCTCTGCAGAGGAGCAGCATCGACTGCCAAGCAGCCAGGTCGTTTTAAACTCGGTGGTAGTACGCCTCGGGGGATTAATGGTCCTGATGCTGACTGTTGGACGCTGGGCTGACGTGATCCACATTCTAATCTGTTTTCTGGGTGAGGCCATCTGTCTGATTCCAACCATGGATTTACTGGATGCAGCATCCTAAAAGGTGAATGAATCTTCCTGGTGCAATAGCACAAAAGGCCAAAAGATCTTCCTCCCCATTGAGACACTAAAACTGGGGCAGAATATCCTTGCATTCATTAGACTGGGTCCCAAGATGTTGCTGAACTTCTGAAACTTGTATCCCAGGTGGAAAAAGCTCAAAATCCCACGACATATTGAGGTCAAAATATCTTTTATTCAGCACACAAGGCCTACTTTGTTTTTAATAACAGCCTGCACTGTTGCTGTAGAGTTTTGAATATCAGCTATGGTGATGCAAACCAATCATGATGCATATTACCATTCATATTAAATTTTTAAAAAAGGAACATTGTATTTTACATAAACTATATATGAAAAAACATATAATAGAACTGAAAATTAGATTAATCTAAGATAACGACCAGGAAAAGATATTCTGACATTGCTTGATCATGACCTTGTGCTTAATGTGCCACATGTCCTGTGACTACAGGTTGAAGATTAAACCTGTTGTGGACCAAGATCATCGATGGCCATGAAGAAAAGAAACAACACAATGATCACTAGTAAACTGTTAAAGTGGTGGCAGTTATTATTAAACAAGATTTATACTGTAAATGTATAAGAACAATATATTTTATTTTTTCATTTAAATGTTCTAACAAAACGTATTATTGTAATTACTTTAATTAATAACCTTTCCATTCTAATTGTGTTACAGTCTCAGAGTACCTTGTTGTCTAGTGGCCTTTCTATAAGGCTTTGAGGCCTGCATTGTTATTTGAAATTTTGATCAAATCCTCATAAAATGATCAATTTCATAGTTTTAATGGGTCCAGAAACTTATAGGACATTTCAGTTATCAATTGTCAAGCCAGATTATATTTATTATGATGCTTTATCATATATGACTGAAAAATATTGGTAATATTGTATTTAAGGTTAAATGTAACCACTGGCTGGTTTTACATAGTTATTCTCACACATTATATCTCAAATGTACCATGCAAGTAAAACTAGTTAAGGTATTGAGTTGTTACATGTAAGTAGCATGGCCAAAACAAAATACTCAAGACAAAACAGATTGAATTAAGGATGTATTATCAAATTATTTTCAAATGTAAATAAGTTTTATAAAGAAGTTGTGAAAGATATATGTACTAAAGTATAGGAAAGAATGGACAGGGTAACGAGAATCTTCTTAAAGTTTTAAAAAGAAAACTAGTAGCAGAACATAGTATGAAAGTTCAATAAAAATTGATTGCTTAGTCTTAAACAGTGGCAGAAGTCAATTGTGCCAGGCCTGGTGGGTCAAACCCTGGTTTGTCATATGACACCTGCTCTAACATTTAGGGTTATTATTATTATTTTTTAGCTTATTTGGTTGTAGCTTCCTAAACAAATATACTATTCATAGAAAAGCAAGTAGGGTGTCTGACATCTAATTGTGGAAAATATGAAATAAAAATCAGAGATTACGAATGATTTAAAATTTCCTTTATTGTTAACAAATGTGTACATATTAGACAAACCTTTCCTGAATACTAGACGTTCATCACCCAAACTTTCTTATAGGTCTGCTCATTATTTGATCCTTAAAGTACAGCACATAACAGGAACAAAATAAAGCATTAAATATTTGTCCTTGATTGTGCCGAGTCATTTGCTAACCTACATCGCAATCAGCTTACTAATACACTTTTTTTTTCATATCTGCGTTTTGCTCATACCTGTCTTAACCTTAGAAACACTAGTCAAACGATTTAATACAGGTTTTTTAGTTAGATACTTTTGAGAGGAAAAGGGGAAAATGGCTGACGACAGCGTTTGTGCAGTGAGTCCCACAAAATGGCGTTAGAGAAAGAAAAGGCTGGGTTAGTGGGTTATTTTTCTGAACTTTGCTCCGTCGAACAAAGAGCATTTTATTTCCCGAAAACGTTAACTGGTTTAAGACAGTTACCGTTTCTGTTTGGAATACTTCAAAAGCATATTTTCGGCGAGACTGTCCTACTTAGTCTCGATGTGTATAAATAAATGTTTGTATTCTTGGGATAACAGAATATTTGGCACCCACGTCAAAATATATCCACATAATGACGCCGGGTTGAATGCCTTTATTGAGAGCTCAGAAATAAACATATTCCACCAGAGGATTGTGTTAGGATTTTAGTTCCATCGTGTCCGGGACAAAGAAAAAGCTTGTGGAATTACTGTGGACATATTGGCCTGGCGATCCAGTTTCCAGAATAATCCGTGCTCGGAAATCTTATAACTTTGGTGTCTTGTATGTCCACCAATGATGGAAATTGTACTCCGGTAGGTTTAATGGGTTTTGAGTATAATTCCATAGAAGGACGTACTCCACGAACAACCGGGTGTGATAGAAATGCCCGGTGAAATGGCTGTTCTCCACTCGTCCTCTTGCAGGTTTCTAGACTTTTCTGTAGGGGTTCACACATACGCAGAGCTTCTATGCTGCGCCCGCATTACCGCGCATGCGCTTACAGCACAAGGCGACAACAATATAGAAACAGCGGAGCTGCGTAGTAACAGAGCTTAACAAATAAAACCGCACTGTACCTATAACAAACTACACATATGATAATATAAATAAGATGGGGTGTTTCATCACAAAAGCCTATAAAAGTGCAGCTTTGATGTCAACAGTCCTTATCACCACTGCTCCCTTGGACTTTAGAAGATGGACTGACTTGCCTCATGTTACTTATTAGCTTAAAACAGAGCTCCGAATGGGTCAAAGTTCTTGACTAAATACACTCCATTCCATTATGCCACACACTTGATGTACAAGTAAACAAGTCTAATCTGTATTTGCCCTGACAGACCAGAAGTTTTACAAGCAAAAAGCAACAAAGACTTACTTTGAAAGATGATATTCTATTGTTACTATTTTGTAAAAAGCTTTTATGTATGTTGCATTTCTTTATTGCAAAGATTTGTGCTGAACATTAACATTAATCCTTAATTTCTCAAGTTTTACTTTTGCATTCTCTTCACAAAGTAAAGATGCTATAGCTATGTGTTATTTAATTTTGTTACCACTTAACTGTAAATATAATTTATACATTTTTATTTTATTTATTAAGAAGTTGATTTCAGACCGGTGGAAACAATTACATATACTTTGTCTATTTATATGTGTCCCCAATATTATAAATGTTTGTTATGGTAATTGTAAAAACTTAATGACAGTCGTTGCTTGCCTCTGTCAATGCATTTGCAAAGCTAAGCATAGACACTATGCTCAAACCATTCACATTCAGACACATATAGTCCAATGAGCCTTGGGCTTCTTGTTTCCTGTTGGCACATGTTCCTACTTAAATATACAAATCACATAAGATCACATGACCAAACCAGTTAACAGTGGTGTAGATTAGGTTGAGGACAGGGCATTTCTTTAAACATGTCTATCAGCCATGGACAATCTGCACATCAAAATAGAAACTGTGCAAGATAATTTGTACCTTGTAAACAGTATAACAATAAAATGCAATAAAGGACCATTCCATTTACAGAGCAGTATGTCCTTTGCAATCCCCACTGGTTCAATACACTCAATTGTTCAATTGTTCATGATATTTTTGCCTCATTATATGTCTATTTAGGCTATTTATGTTTAAATGTCATAAAACAAGCCTATATTTGAAATAGCCTACATTTGTAATTTTCAAATACATGTGAATAAAGCTGCTGCGTGTACCTAGTATCTTGTTATACTGCCTACTGTTTAATGGAATGTTATGCATTCACCTTCCACACTCTGCAGTTCTTTGTGATCTAATCACAATATAGTTTCACAAGTCCTTTCTACCTTTTTAGAGAGATAGCAGTAACTCTTACCTTAATCTAAACTGCCTCATTGGAATGTTTTAACAGAGGCATAACAAATTACTGATATGTGTCTCACCATCCATTTGATGGCATGGTAAGTGTTACTGTATTTGGAAACCACATATAGCTCACATAGCACATGGTTTATTAGCCATAATTGTTGCATTTGTTTCTTCAGATGTAAATCTAATATGCAACTCATCATGTCTGTGCTGTGTCACCCCTTAACGCCACTATCTCATTCCACAATGACAGAACTCTGTGTAGATGCACACAGTCAGGAAACATTTTGCTGACCTAGTTTGGTTCTGTGTCAATGGCCAACAGTGAGGGATTAAGGATCAGAGTTGAAAATATTGCTGTTCCAACAACTAAATAATATCCATCATTAATATTGCTTCAGCTGCCAAATTTGAAAATGTAATTAAGAATATCTAAATTATTATGATCTCAGATGAGCCTTACAGGATGCTTATAATAGCAAGACATACAAATAACAATATATTATGCACGGCATTTTTTAATCAATATTTGTAATTACAATATTTTACTTCTAAAAAATGTAGGGAATTTACCCACATTTTAGATGCAGGTCTATAGCTCCAGAGACGAGAGAAGCTCTTTGCTAAATTTAGCCCCACAGCCATCGAGTCACCCTGGCTAGCCATTGCTGATTGACTTCCAGCTTAATTTTTTTTTCTCACCAGGCTCATTTTTTATTTTAGTGAGCACCATCTAGCCTCTAAGGATATATGTAGTTCATTTTGTGGAAAAATTTATCAGCTAGCACACTATTCTAATGGACCAGCCTCCTATAGAGAAGACAAAGAGGTTTATGTATGTAAGAATTGTTTAATATTTTTTTTGAGACTTTTAGATTTTAAAAAGGGGAACCATATAGGTTTCAACCCAATGGCTATATCCATTTCTTACATATAGTCTGTGGAACGATTTCCTTTTGCAAAAATAAACAAACAATAAAAAAAGGGAAAATAAAAGATAGGTCATATGGTGCGTACTATCTGACTGTAGTACGCACCTCACCTTGCCTAAACCAGCCAGTACTGAGATGGGATCCTTCTGTGAGCCAAAGCTTCTCAGATGTCAAAGCAGCAACAATCAAGCAGGGGTTTTCTCGCGCATGCGCAGTGGCGGGAGACTAGCTCATCGGAGGGAGAGAGCGAGAGAAAAGAGAGAGAGGTTCACACACAAAGCCACGCCTGCGCTGTGTGCCTCTCATTACAGAAGTTGCTGCATCTTTTTAGAAAGCCACACGCTTTTCTTTCGACAACCAAAGGTCGCATGGTGTCAGGGACGCGCCTAGTCACGGGAACAGTCCGGGATGCGCGTTCATGCGCTTCATGACCGCGCTTCAACAGTGAACACTATCGAACGGCGTGCAGTGGATTCAGCCCTAATGGTTTACATTGGGTCACAACGACCAGTCAATGATTTGCGACGATTCCGTGCGTTTTCTTTCTCCTTCTCTTTTTTCTTCTTCCTATCTTGTGGGATTTGGTTTGCAAACATTTTCTTTTTGCACGGGAGGAAACTGACATAGCAAACTCATCTGTATGATCGGGCAGCAGGAGCTCACAGTATGGTCCGGGAAACCAGACATTTATGGGTGGGAAATTTACCCGAAAATGTACGAGAGGAGAAAATCATTGAGCACTTCAAGCGGTGAGTGCAAACCATGATGTTCACGACGCTTGTTACTTGTGTATCCGTTTATACAGTTATGTCAAATGTGTAGCATATGTGTGTGTTTTGTAATGTAACAACGAATGCAAGGAGAGCATCTCTGTGTGGTGTCACATTTTAGTGAAGTCAGGATGAAGGAAGCAGAAGGTCCCCCCTGTAGCAAACTCCCATTTGGCAACTGCTCTGTCAGCTTCTCAAGATACAGCAACAATGGGCTGTGTTTAGGGAAAAAGTCAGAAACACTGGCAGCTGTGGCTTTAGGCGCTCAGCTAGCGGACACGTTTTGCCGTTTCACCACCATTTCTAGGGTGCTGATAACAACACCTGTGCCTTCACACCAGCGCCAGGTAACACATGGACTTTTCAGGCTTTTTGCTGCTGATGAAGCTGATTCCCCCTGCAGCTGGAGGAAAAGGGACAGTGTAAACAAACTCCTACATGCTCTGAACGAGCTTTGCGTCGAGCCGCATGCGTCTTTGGCACACTAGACGGCAAACAGCGAGCATGTTTGTAGGTCCTGTGCAGTTAACCGGCGTCACGGTCCCTGTCTGTGTCTCTGTGCCTGTCTCTGGACATGGCAGGTAATGTCAGCTCACTGCTTTGCACACAGGCAGTGGTGAATGTGCACTATAGAGGCGTACCTGTCTGGGTGCAGCGTTGCAGCTGTTGCATCGAATAAAAGGTTTTAAATCTGCACAAAAGTCCATCAAGGCTGCAAAAATAGTAGTGTGATTGAGGTAAGCCTTCGCTGGCTGAAATTCAGCACCGTAGCTCTGTGACTGACCGCCGCTGTTTGTACACTGTGCGCATACACATAAAATGGCAAATGTAAACGCTTTTTCGTAGCTGTGAGATGCAATCTGCGAGAAGGGGAAATTGCATAAAGGTGAATACATTCTAAATAATATATCGTAAATACAGAAGAAGTTGATTTTTATTTGTCCAACAATGTGTTGCATTACGCTGAACAATGTGTTTTTTCAACAATGTGTTGCATTACGCTGAACAAAAGTGGAGTCATTCGATCATCCTCCTATATAACGCTTATATCTTTTCTCCGCGATTCGCGATTATGTGCCCA